GCCACAACATTGGCCAAAATGGATTTCGTGGGCTAAATTTTGGTTCAATACAACATACAATAGCTCCGTTGGTATGACCCCTTTAAGGCACTTTATGGTCGTGATCCATCGATTATCTTTAAACTTTCATATCATGGATCTATAGTAGATGACGTAAACCATCAGTTGGAAGCTCTCAATGTCATTTTGGAATAGTTGAGATATAATCTTTATCAAAGCCCAAGGTTGTATGAAGTGATATGTAGATACAAAGTAAAGAGAAGTTAGTTTGGAAATTGGGGATTTAGTCTACTTGAAGTCACAACCCTACCATCTTTGCTCCTTGGCTAAACATTACAATGAAAAACTAAGCCCCTGCTTTTATAGACCATTTGTAGCCATGAAAAAGATGGGCACAGTGGCCTACCACTTAAAGTTACTAGAAATAGCTTACATCCATGATGTTTTCCATGTCTCGTAGCTCAAAAAAAGCAAGTACCCACTGCCTAATGCCCAACCCCTTCCGGAAGCATTAGATGAGGATATTGTTTTATGATTCGAACTGGAAGAAGTGTTGCAAACTCGTAAACTCCTTAATGGAACTTGGGAAGTAGTAATCAAATAGAAGGGGTTGCCCACTTATGAGAACACTTACGAGGACTTCACCAATATTGATATTCAATTTCCTTTGTTCCACCTTGAAGGCAAGGTGGCTCTCTTTGGGGGGAGTAATGATGAGAACTCTACAGTGCATGTCTACAATAGGAAAAGTAGGAGAGTGAGTAGAGGATAGGGGTAGGATTTACCAAACAAAGGATGGTCCTAAATTGCATATTAGTGCGTGTAAGGTAGTGGATAGATGTCGTCTACAGATTGGGTTTAAGGGAATTCTATTAAGTGAGAGATTTGTAGCTTAAAAAGGGTTGACAAGGAATGTTTTGGGCAACTGAAAAATTAAAAGGGAATTTTGGTTTAGGGAGGTACTAGCCTTTGAAGCTAGTTGGTTATCTTTTTTTCTTCTTGTCAATTTACTGTTCATTTCTGGTTTGTTAATTTGTGAATGTTCTTATTGATGATCAAACTTGCAGTTGTGTTGGGAATTTACTATTAATATATCAGAGGTATTTCAGTGATATTCTTGTTGTGTTGAGTGACTAAGCAGGTTGAGTTAAAAAAAGGTTTCTAACAAAGTGGTGAAGATGAGATTCAACGAAAAAAAGAGAAAGACCCTTGTTTCTGATGTGATGCCAAATTCTCTCTAAGACACCACTGCGAGAATAGCAGTTTCAAGTGCTTTTGGTGGATGAAGAAGATGGGGAAGTGGAGGGTGGTGAAAGAGCGGAGGAGCGAAGTGGTGTCAAGTTAACCATTTTTATCTTCCCACCTTGAGGACAAGGTGCTACTGCTTGGGGAGAGTAATGATGAGACCCAGATGATGAGGGTTTAGGAAAAGGGAAATAAGGTGGCAAGTAGTGGATTAAGGGGATGTTGGTAAATTTTATGGGTTTATGCTGGGACAAGTGGCAATTGGGGGTTGGGACAACAAAAGAATTCAGTTGTGGGGAGAGTGAGCTGGGGGATAAAAAGAGAGGGAGAGAGCAGATTAGAGGAGAAGAATATAGGGAAATTTGGGAGGAGCTAACCCTCGAAGTTAGCAATTAAGGAAGAGCTAGCCCTCAAAGTCCAACACTATCTTAATTTCTTTTGTTTCAGTTTTGCTGTTTATTTGACTATGTTGTTGGGTAATAATTACTAGTTTCATTACTAGTGTATTTTGCTTGCTGAAATATTAATACAAGAGTCTATTAGTTTCTGGGTTATTTGGCTTTTCTGGGTTTATTTCAATTTTGCTTGTTGTTTCCATTGTGGTTGGCTGAGTTGGGAGAGGTATCTATCAATTGGTATCAGAGCAGTTCAGTTATAGGATGGTTGGTACGAGAATGGAAGCTATTATAGAAAACGTTGAAAGAGAGATAGGTAACATCAAAGAGTTTTTAGTTGAAATGCGAGCTTGGATGAGAAGGAAAGATGAAAAAGAAGTAAGGCGAAGAGATTGAGAGAAATCGCCAGAAGTTTCAAAGTCATCTGGAACTATTCACAATTGGAGACTAGGAAATCAAACAGAGGAAAGAGGGTACAATGATTTGGGGCATTACTGTGCAGAAAGAGGGGAACGAAAACTTGAACTTCCCATTTTCACTTGCAAAGATCCATATGGATGCTTATTCCAAGCGGAATGATACTTCAACATCATTAGGATTTCTAATGATGAAAAGTTACCAACGACAACAACCTGTATGAACGGAGAGGCTGTTAATTAGTTTCAATAGATTTAATCATAGGCTTTAGTGACTTCCTGGACAACCCTCAAATTAGCCCTATTGCAATGATTTAACTGCTCTCAAGAAGGAGGACCTTATGAAGCCTTGTTGGGTATTCAACAGCTACAAGAGGTGGAGGAACATCAGAGAGAGTTTGAGGTTATCTCAGCCACGTTAAATGAAGAGAAAGAAGATACTTTGTGGGTTGCTTATGTAAGTGGGCTGAAACCTGATATTAAGGCTGAGGTGAGATTGGGCCAGCCTAATTCATTGATACAACTTATTGAATTGGCACAGAATATAGAGGATAAAAATTGGGCTTTAGAAGAGTTGAAGTTTGGGATAAATGGGCTTAGTCATGGGCATGGCTTGAGTCATTAGAGAATGGATTGGGCTGAGGGTTTAGTTCAGCTGAAAATGGTTTGGGTCAAGGGTTTAATTTAATAGATAAAGGACTGGGCAAAGGTTTTAATGCAACTAAGTTTGGGTTGGGTAGAGCAATCAGGTCAATAGAAAATGGGACTAGGGTCTAATCCCATTTAACCCAAAACACAAACCACTCTAGCCAGCCGAGATATTCCAGCAACTCCTTGACAGTGAGCCAATCATAGGATGACAAACAATCGAGCACCGCTCTTACCACCAGTCATCAAAATAGTAGCACATTCGTGTAACGACCCTTTGACTTTAACCCAGTTTTTTACGAATGACAGAAGATGAGATTCAAAAAAAAAAAAAAAAGGCCCTTGCTTCCGATGTGATGCCAAATTTTATCCGGGACACCGCTGCGGACAAAAGCAGTTCCAAGTGCTTTTGGTGGATGAAGAAGATGAGGAAGAGGAGGGTGGTGAAAGACTGGAAGAGCAGGATGGTGTCAAGTAAACCATTTCCATCTTCCCAGTTTGAGGGCAAGGTGGTACTACTTGGGAGTGTAATGATGAGACCTGGATGATGAGGGTGTAGGAAAAGGGAAATAGGTAGTAAGTAGTGGATTGAGGGGATGTTGACAGGAAACTTCCATGAGTTTTGGTTGGGACAGGTGGCGATTGGGGGTTGGGATAGCAAAGGAATTCAATTATGGAGAGGGAGAGAGAGAGAGAGAGAGTAGATTAGAAGAGAGAAGAATATAGGGAAATTCGGGAGGAGCTAGCTAACCCTCGAAGTTAGCAATTAGGGAGGAGCTGGCCCTCGAAGTCCAACACTATCTTAATTTCTTTTGTTTGAGTTTTGCTATTTATTTGATTGTGTTGTTGGGTAGTAATTGCTAGTTTCATTACTAGTGTATTTTGCTTGCTGAAATATTAATACAAGAGTCTATTAGTTTATGGGTTATTTGGCTTTTTTGGGTTTATTTCGATTTTGCTTGCTGTAACTCTCTTAAAACATTATCTTCCTTCATTCAAAAAAAGAAAAGTCAAAATAAGTATAAAAAAATGCAAAGACCTGATTCTAAATTTGGAAGAAATTACTCGACGGTTAGACAAGAAGCGGTACGACATACTACCTTGAAAGGAGAATCAAGAAACGTTGAAACTTCAGCAATAGTAGCTCAGAATAAAAATCAACATGCATAAATAGGTTAGGGTCTCTTAGGTTTCAACCCATTTGAGGTGCCCCAAACCCAACTCAATTAGAATTGGGGTGAGATTGGATCGCCCAAATCTTAACCCATTCTATTTAGGTTAGGATTGGGGTACCCATTACAAACCTTAATTAAGAAAATATTTATAAAATAAAAATTAAAGTAAAATAAATTTTATCAATTTTAAAAATATTTTTATAATTCTAAATTTGTAATGTAATTAAATAATTTTTATTAAATAAATCATTTATTAATTAACTATTAACAAATTTGCAAATTTATGATTTGGTTATCTGACTATCAACACCTTGACAAATGGTGCGTTTACGCCACTGTCGGTCCCATCGGGACCAGATGGTGACGATATTTCAAAATCCAATGTTTCATTGGACTTCAACATTTCATTTGGCTGGCAAAAATAAAATGTCAAAAATGCATCATCTATTCTAGTGTTAATTGCAAAAATGCATCATCTATTTTAGTGTTAATTGCTCGTTGACTGGCGATTGACTAATGGTGGTGGTAAATTCAAAGTTTTTTTTTTCAATATATTTATAAATTTATTACATTATTTATTTAATAAATTAAATATCTATTTAAGTTTATTTTGTAATTTGAAGAATGGTGTAGGTTATATTTGTCATCCTAAAATAGCTTTAGAAATAAAATATATATTTTTATTTATTTATAACAATAATAGTGATAATTATGCCTAAAAATAAATATTTTAAAATATATCATAATAATGATGTTAAATATCCATAATAAAAAGCAATGTTTTAAAAACCAACCCGGGACAAAACACGGTGAGCTGGCCGGGTCCTGGGTCGACCGGTGACATAAGCAACGTTACTGTTCACAGAATGCAAAATTGCGGAATTTGAATCCAAATCATAAACTCCTGAATAAAAACCTTAGCAAAGCATCATCAAACATCATTACATCAGTAATATAACAAATTACAAATCAAAATAACAAATTAAAGGAAGAAATCACATAATATAATAGTTTTTGACTTCTTTCAACACTTCAATATTCTAACAAAAAAATTATTTTCACCCAATGGTTTTCAATCCATCATTCCATCCTCAATTAAAATTTACAGTTCACACATCATCTCACAGATGATCGTCATCATTAGTAACATCGGCAACATCATCTACAAAAAATTCTAGCAAAAAAGGAAAACCATAAGTTAAATCTTCTCATTAAAACTAACTGAATATAAAGTAGCTACTACCAAATTGAATTGCTTAAAAAATTGAAAACAAACTTCTGAAGCATCTGTTGAGTCATAATAAGAAGGGTGATCATCACCATCTATAGGAATAGCTCATTCTCCATATAATGATTGTTCCAATTCATCATAATTAAGCTCACCAACCTCCTCTTCCTCATCAACTATCCACCATTCAGTTTTATCAATACTCTCATAATCAACAGGATTATAAGTAATTTTCTTGTAACAACTCCTGAACCAACAGAATTAAATGTTCAAATCATGACCAGTAAAGACATCAATAAGAATAACAAAATGAAGAAGGCTTTATACATATTTTGCAAACGTAAGTTATAATGAGTGAAAACCAAATCATTTAACCATGGATGCTCCAATCTGTTCCTCTTTTTAATATGTATGCATTCAAAAACACTCCAATTTTGCTCACATCCAGAAGAGGCTGAAGTTTGACTTAGAATTTTGATTGCAAACTTTTGCAAATTTGGAGCACTAAACCCAAATGTCATCCACCATTCATCTAATTGAGAATAAAGTATAAATTACATAAGAAATAAACATAATTTCATAACTTAAAAATTAGACTTAAAAAGTTAATATTTAATAACTATTACATACCCGGCCGTGTAGTTTTGCAAGTTTGAAGAGTAAGCTCACGAGAAAAGCTTTCTAGACGGTCTCGATATAATCTACTCTCTTCCAGTAACATTGTCTTGCTCATTTTGAATGCACTTGCTTTATTGTCAATAGTGTCAAGGAAACCATACATGACCTCAGGTTTTTTGGAAAAAGTATCATTGTCATATTTAAAAGCAGGATTCAAATAATATGCTGCTGCATGGATATCATGGCGCAACATCCTATCCCAACACATCTTAATAATTGTTGTATAAGGCTTATACAAGATTTTCCTATTCTTAAACAACTTCTTCATCTCCATCCTTGTTCTGTACATGCCATCATACACATATCCTATTGAAGGCCTCTCATATCAGTCTAAAATTTGGAGCATATGCATCAATGGATTCACAACTTTGGTAATTATACCAATGTCATCCCAGAATCGGTTATCTAGGACTATGGAAATAAAGGCTTTGCCTTTATTAGTTTTTGCATATCGAGACTCCACAAAAGTTCTATCTGTCACTGTAGATTCCAAGTCACGTTTGTGCTGATGTAGGCTGCTCAATGCAATGAAGGTTGTGGCAAAACGGGTTGCACCTGGGCGTATAATTTCTATCCAACCCTATTCAAGTGATAGACAACAAATGTTAGTACTTAGTAAATTATTAAAAAATGTACATATATAATATGATTTGACAATGTAAATTATAAACATATGAGGTAAAGGTATATAACCTGTTTTTCCCTCAACAAAACTAGCACAAAGGAATGATTACACACAGACTTTGTAACCTCAGATGCACGTTTCGAAAGGTTAACTATGTGACTCATCTCAGCTATGTCTTTCAACATCAAATTAATGCAATATGCTGCACAAGGAGACCAAGTAATACTACTATATTTTTCTGACAACATTCTTCCAACAACTTTATAATTTGCTCCATTGTCAGTGACAAGATGGACAATATTGTTTGGTCTGACCCATAAAGCTATTTCCTCAAACAAGCTAAACAATGTTGTAGCATCCTTTACAACATCCGAATCATCCACTGATTTCACAAAACACAATCCTTTAGGACAGTACACTAGAAAATTAATCAGCAACCTATGTGAATTAGTTGTCTAACCATCAGCCATTAAAGTACATCCAACATCCTCCCAAGTTTTCTTATAACCATCAACAAGTAACTGCACTTCTTTCCTAGCATCTCTCAATAAATTTACACGCAAGTTATGATATGTTGGGATTTTATACCCAGGACCAATTGCAGTTATAGCATCCACCATAGGTTGAAAATAAATTGAATTAATAACATTAATTGGGATGCAAGAATCATAAAATAACCTTGCAACAGCCATGTCCACTCTCCACTTAGCTTCTTTTCTTGCTAAAACACTCTTAATTGAGGGCTGAGACCTAGGCTTATTCCTCGAAGCAAAATAGTCACCTATCCCAATAGATCTTTTTCTCTTACTGCTTGAAGTTGGAGTTGGACATGGAGAAACCTTTTCACACTCTTGATCTTCATCTAACATATCACCCTCAAATTGTTGTACACTAGCTCCATAAGGTTTGACATTCTTACGAAGTTCAACTTTTTGTTTATTCTTGACCCCAATTTCATTTAGTGCTTCTTTAATCTTGAATTTAACATCGAAAGGAACTTTAGAGCACTTTCCAACTTCTCCCTTTATACCCGCTAGATGCAGTTTCACTCGATAAATTCCTCCACCTCTGATTATCTTGCCACAGTAAATACATTTTAATATCTTCTTCCCATTTTCATCCACGCTCTCATTAACATGTTCCCATGCTATATCATTTCTTCCTCAAAAAGATTGTGAAACATCCATGGAAGTAGATTGTTGACAAGACCCAGATGATGACATATTCTCTGTCTTTAATGTTGATCTCTAACCTAGTGATACAAATAACAAATAAGTTAGTAATAATTAATAATTAACCCTTATTACTACATAATCATGCATTGTGGCAATTAACCTCAATCAACCAAATACTCATGCATTGTAAATATACATTACTAATAAAATTAACCCTTATTATTTTTCATGCATGTGCTGAACTGAAGAACAAATTTTTTTGTTGCTTTCATGCTTTGTTTGTGGGTTTATCTTAACTCTTACGACCTCCCTGTTCAGTCTTCAGGTCATATATTAATAAATCTAATATCTTCATTCTTCAATGCTCAAATCAAATATTCATTCATCATTCACCAAAACAAAATTAAAGGTTTGTAGTTTGCTACTATAATAGTGGAATGTACATTAGTAAGGTGACACCGTAACAGTTACCTGGTTCTGGTGAAGATGAGCTACCGTTGACAGTTGAGTTGACCGTTGGAGAGGTGGAGCTCGGTTGTGAACAATGCAACTATGAAGAGCTGAGATACAAGCAATGTGAGGGGACGAGGCGATAGTTCCTGGGCAAGAAGAAGACGAGATCGACTATGTAGCTTTGAGAAGATTAACAACGATGGATGAACAATGTAGATCGACGGTGAAGAAGAGTGTGAGAGGACAGAGAAGATCGTGAAATGGGAGGAGATTTGCGGTACCCTAGCTGACGACGAAGTAAGCAGTTGACGGTGAAGGCTGAAACGATAGATTCGACGGTGAAGGGGAGACTTCGGTGGAAGATTTCAGATGGATCGGTGGGTGCTACAGTGCATCGGTCCAACCACGGGTGTAAGTGGGCAGACTGATATAAGCAGTTTTGAGCCTCACCTGGCCCGACTCACCAACGGGGTCCCGGTTCAACCGGCCAGGCCGAGTTTTAAAACAATGATAAAAAGTATAAGAATGATTCAAAGCAAGTTAGAGTGAGAAAACCCACACCCAAACATAACCACCCCAACCCACCCAAATTTTGATTTAAAGAAGTATAGGAATGATTCAAAGCAAGTTAGAGTGAGAAAACCCACACCCAAACATAACCACCCCAACCCACCCAAATTTTGATTTAAAGAAGTATAGGAATGATTCAAAGCAAGTTAGAGTGAGAAAACCCACACCCAAACATAACCACCCCAACCCACCCAAATTTTGATTTAAAGAAATAGGGTGGAGTGGGGAGGGGTAGTATACAATTTTGGTAGTTACGCTTTTTTTTTCGATGACCGAGGGTGTCCAAGTCAGCTTATGCGCACTTCAACTAATCCCCTGGAACTACCAACCGAGTAAGAGTTCCAGTGGCTACCCCTATTAGCAACCAATGAAGGGCTCGAACTCATGACCTCTTAAGTAATATATCTAAGAGTCTTTATCAAACCACTCGACCACTCAGAGATAGTTAATTTGTTAGTTAAGTTGAGTTCCACATTTTTGCAACTACTATATATATACTTCATTTTCACTTGAGGTTGAAGAAGAATCAAAAACCATGATGAACTAGTGTGTGTGTGTGTATATATATACTTTATGTTCATTTTTTTTATATTGTACCATTTGGAAGATGATGAAGATTTAACAAAAGAAATCCAACAAATAAAAATTGAAGTTAAAGAATTAAAAGAACAACAAAAACAACATTCGAACATATTTGTTGCTAAAGAAAAAGGTTTAGCAATAATGAAAGGTCAAATAATCTACAATGGAAATACTTTATCATTACAAAATTTGAGAGAGCCAGTGAAACCATCTACTAACAAGTCGGCTATGGCTTCGTGTATTAAATTATGATGGTATTATACCATATGAAAATCTAATGGATAGTTTTGACTTTAAAACTATCTTGGCGGATCAATTGAAGAAGAATCCAAAACCATGGACAAGTCAACACACTGATATAATCCGGTAGATTAAAGCCCAAATTACCCATTTGCCATGTTTGCATTTAGCAGACCCATTAGCCTTAAAAATAGTAGAAACAGATGCCTCAGATTTGGGATATGGAGGTATTCTCAAACAAGTAAAAGGTTGTCCAATATACTTCCAAATTTTGGAATGAAACTCAACAAAAATACTCCACTATCAAAATAGAAATTTTATCCATTGTCTTATGCATTTCTAAGTTTCAAAGTGATTTACTCAATAATAAATTTTTACTTCGTATGATTGCCAAACTGCTAAACATGTTTTACAAAAGGATGTTCAAAATATTGCATCAAAACAAATTTTTGCAAGATGGCAAGCAATTTTATGTGTGTTTGATTTTGACATTGAATACATCAAAGAAGAAACTAATTCCCTGCCTGACTTCCTCACCATGGAATTCCTTCAGGGGAGGTAACCATCATGCCACCCAAAAAGACCAACCCTCCATGGTATAATCTACAATGGTATAATAAATGCGGTTTTATACCTATCTTCAATATCCCTTTGGTATCAGAGCCAGGGAGGAGGCACTGATTTAGGATTGTTAAAATTTTGTTTATTAATTATTTTGAGTACCGAGTCATTTTGGGTTGTGTAGGGCTATAGGATGTAACCGTTGTAAGGTCCCTTAGATCAACCACTGTAGGGAAAGAAATATGTGATAAACAAAATGGAAAACTTTTCTAGATCAATGTCTACTTCTAATTCAAATACTAGAGATGAACAAATTGTTCATCAAGAAGAGATTTGTATAAATAAAAAAGACAACATAATTGAAACAAGTCAAACTTGTACACAAAAAGATAGACAGGTCATAAGACCTCAAGACTTACAAAAACATTTTGATAAATGGAACATTCCCAAAATTTCTGTAACAGATGTCTACAAAGAAGGAAAATTATCAAGTCTCAATAGAGTAAACCCTTTAAACAAATCAAAATACATAATTAAAACAGAAGAAAAAACTCTTAAGGTAAACAATTCAACTCAAATAACTCAATTATTATCTACGGAAATGGTCGAAAAATACAAAAAGAATTATAATTATCTTCATATAGGATTAGTCCAAATAAGAATCATTGAAGGCATGGACACTGCCATCTTTACCTGTTTAAGAGATTGTAGATGGCTAAGATTTATAGATTCTCTATTAGGAATAATAGAATCCGGCATGTCCAATGGACCAATTTATTTCAATTGTTATCCTGATTTCACAGTTTGCTTAGATGACCTAAATATGCTAGATGTTTTAATTTTAAATATTAAAACGTTTAATTATGACTTAAAACCAGGAACCATCCCTACAGCATCCATTTATAGGATCCAATACAAAGTAATGCAATCTGCTTTTGAAACTAGAGCCATTAATCATGACCAAAAAGGCGACACAGTGTTATTTCAAACTGATTTAACAAGATCAAACATAACAGTTCCTAAAGCAATAAATTGGGACCAAATAACTTTACCAGAGGATTGGAGGTTAGCAAATGCAGTCATACCTTTAAAAATGAGAATTCATAAACCTTTAACCTAACTAATCCAAAATACAGAGATTGAAAACATAACTAAAAATTATGATGGAAGTGTTCGGATTAGGTTTAGTAGGCCTCCAAGAATAAGTTTTGATGACTCACACTTATCCTCATCCATATTAAATCCCAAAGAACCTCTTCAACAAAGAAGATTTTCTTGTTCAGTAAGAGGACCCCCTAGACCTAGCCAAGTTAGAACAAATATTCAAGGAATAGATAATTCCTCAACAATACCACAACCTTATTATTCAGTTCAAACACCCTTCCAACAAGATGGGGAAGAGACATCACAAAGAATGTCTCTGACCTATTCCCAAATGACAGATTTGCCAGAATTAAACATGATTGAAAAATTTGAAATAGATAAAACCCTCTTAAGAAAGGATTTTTATTCAAAAGAAAATCAAGAATTAAAGGAAGCATTCTTCAAAAACTTTAATAAAAAAGAAAAAGATATAATTCAACAAAATTATTACAACTTTATGAAAACACACCAAATTCTTATACCTTTCTTTCATGGTTTGATAGTGAAAAAACAAAAACAATCAATGTCCAAACAAAATCAAAACAGTGGAAACTCACAAGAGGAAAAGATATTGAAGAAATAGGGTCAATTCATCCACCTTTAGTAGAAGTAACGATTCCTTGTAAGGAGTAGAAATTAAGGCTTCACCTTTTAAAGTCAAAGAAAATTTAAGTGAAATATTAGGAAATGATATAAAAAATATTTACCAACAAAATAATTATGCAAACCAATGCTTGAATTCTATTGACGAACAATTTTATAGAATTGAAGACATTGTAGGAAAACTTATCCTAAAACCTATTGACATAACGTCAAAACCACTAAAAATTGTAGATAATAAACCTTTATTTGTTCCACACGAGATCCCTCCAAAACACACTAAAACTTTAACCAACAAAGAAGAATTTATGCAAGAAGTAAATAAAAAACTGAACGAAATAAAAGAAGAATTCTCTAGCGTTGTCGCACCAGAAACCCCACAAACTTCTAGACATAATATAAATTTTATTGGCAAAACTGATTCATTAGAATCATCAGAAACTGATGATCAAAATACATCCTCAAGTGATAATTCTATTCAAATCAACAACATGAATTTGAAAAAACCCCCAAAAATGTATTATCCAAGAGCTTCAGCCCCAAATTTAGTTTTGGAAGAATCCTCTCAAATACAACGAAGAAAATACAATGTCGATTCTATCTATGAATGGAACATAGATGGAATGTCTAATTATAATATTATTGTGGTCTTACAACAAATGACCATGGTCAGTAATGCCTATAGGACTAAACATAATTCAACAGACCAAGCCGTAGCCCACTTGTTAGTAGCTGGTTTCACTGGCTCTCTCAAATCCTGGTGGGATAGCCACCTACAAGATCAAAACCAAAGTGAAATTCTTAACGCAATCAAGATTGATGATAATGGAATACCAATTTTGGATGAAGATGGTACTGAAATTCAGGATGCTGTTAATAGGGGTGTTTGGTTCCGGTACCCTACACTTTTGGAAGGAACCAGAACCGATGGTTCCTTGACTTTTGGAACCAGAACCGGAACCGACGGTTCCGATTTCGGTTCTGGGTACCCTGTAAAATTCATTATCCCCCCCTCCCCCCAAAAAAAGTTTTTAAAATGACAAAAAAAACTCTTAAAAACTTACAAATACCCCCCACTTGGCACTTATTAACAAAATTAAAATTATAAATTTCATATTTCAAACTCCAAAATTAAAATAATCTATTGAAAATCACAAATTCAAAATTAAAATATTACAATAATCCATTGAAAATCACAAATTCAAAATTATAAACTCCAAAACTAAAACGATGAAATTACATAACATATAAAATTAGTAACATAACAATTAACAACATCCAAATATGAAAAACTAAAAATATCTCATGGATCCATGTCTCAATTTCTCTCCTCATGTGCATAATTTTACCAAACAAATACAAGAAAATTAATTAATAGTTCAAAATATTGAACAAAATAATTTGGGAAAAATTAACTAAATATGAATATAAAGATGATATTATTTTGTTACCTGAGTTATAACTTTCTCTCATTATTGACATGTTCCTACACAAAAATTGCCAAGTTAAACTTCAAAAGAATTCAAAACATATAATGTTTAATAAACATATGTTTATGTGATATTATGCCATCCATAAAATAAAAATCGATTTGTGTTTAGCATCTCATTTTCCCGACTTCATTGAATCTTTAAACCTTAGTCACATCATTTATAAACTCAAGAATGTAGACATGCATGCACCCCACCAATACCTTAAAATTTGAACCAACCCACCTTAGAAAAACAATCCAGAAAGCAAACGGGGATAGAATATAAGCAATCAAAACTCAAAAGGGGAATCAAAAATAAAAAGAGCATATATACTAACAAAAGAAGCACCGAATGAAAAGTTAGATCTGAAATGGAATAAAGAATGTAACTTTGCAGTAGAAATGGAGATGATAAGAATAACAGGAAATAAAATGGACCCACAAACAAGAGCTAATTATATAAAGCCAAGATTTTCATGGGATTTTTTGTTTTTTTATTTTGGTTTAGATAAAATAAGAAACTGTTGGGAAGGTATATAAAAGAGATAATTATGATAAAAAGAATAGAAAGCTAAAACAATGGGTCTTCCAGCAAGACTTTGTCACAAATATGACGATATTTCTCACCAGAACTAACTGTGTCTAAACAAAAATCTGCACCAATCCACACAACTCTGCATGAAGACACGTATCTCTTTCTACTCTTCTCCTTCTTTCTTTATAAACACCAACCACTTTTGCTTTCCAGTACACTAAACACAATCTCATCTCATCAAAATTAAACTGCTAAGCTATGAGAAATCTAAAATTTATGAAGAGTTTATTCTCAGGAGGAATTACAAATTCTCAAAAACATGTTTACCTAGTATGTGTTCAATGCAGAATGTTAAAAAAAAAAAAAAAAAAAAAGCACTTTCTTCCAAAATCCAAGCAGTTCCAAATAAAGCAGAGTTGTAATCCTGTTAATGGCATTGCATAGCCTTAACAAACTCATCCAAAATGTGCTATCAGACACACCAAAAAATCCAATAAGCATTCAAAATCTCTATAAAGTTAGTGCGTAAGTTATACACTGCAACATGTGAAAGTTCATAAGACAAATTTCTCTGTTTCTAATCCAAATCCAAAATAAGTAGAATAAATTTTAATTAGTGTGGGAGGACAGCTCTACCGTTTTGTAAGAACTGTCTCTTTAGTGTGTACAACAGAAATGAAGTTACTCACAAAAAGAACAAACCTAGATCTGTAGTTACTCTACAGCAGAAATTAAGTTATTCTAGTCTGTAGATCAAGTTAAAATTCAAAATAAAAAATAAAGAAAGAAATGGAAATACCTTAGGAAATTGGAGTGCTTTAGTGTCTCTTCTAGATTCCAAGGATCAC